CCTTGGCTCTACCCTGCAGAACATCTTGTAAATCCAACTTTCCTGAGAAATGAAATAAAAAAGATACAGTTCTATTTTGGTGTTTATGTGTATCTATTGTAAAACATATAATGAGTCTACTATTTACATGTTCACTGAATACACTTTACCTCCATCCTCAAGGGTAAACAATATGGCTCCTATTAGTAAAATTTTAAATGTAGAGCAGTATTTATTTTGTCAGTACTTGTTGCAGATCATTACATTTGCACAAAGTTTCATTGGTGCAGAAACTGCTTGCTTCCACCTTTCAAATTGGACAGACCATTGTATTCTAGTTATTGAGCTACCTTGTAGTTAGCTTTGATCTTGTGATTGTATCTCCTACCAAAGAAAATGAAAAGTGACAAATGCCACTTCTGTGGCCATAGAAGCCTCTGTCTCTCTCCATGTACTCTGCTTTTCCAGTCTAGGACGTTGATAGCCCTGGGTCTCTGTGAAAGATGTGTTAATGATGACAGTATTTGTCTCAGCCCATGAATTAGTTCATTGAGGCAATTGTCCTGTTGACCCGCTCATCAACATGCTAGCAGTTGATTCTATGCATAGTAGTTATTAGAGCTTGGAATCTTCTAGTGAAGTCAGGTTGTAAGGTGTTTTTGAGAGGCAAATAATCAGACTTGGTATACAGTAAGTGGATAATTATGTTAGATAGTATTTATCATGCTTTGGTTTATTTTTGTATTTTGTGTGTGTATGAGTAAGTATGGGTATGTGCTTTGCATATTTCATGGCTTACACTTGACATGTTTGAATATATACTGATGTACCTGAAAGTAAAATAAAGACAAGAACATTCTTCCAGCCCCTCTGTACAAAGGAACCCTTTTCCTCTGTTAGTGTGCATGTAGACTGGCAACCACTGTGGAAATCGGTGAGGAGATTCCTCAAAAACCTAGAATTAGAAAAACAAAACAAAACTAGGATTAGAGGTCTCATTTGACCCAGCTATCCCCTTTCTGGGTATCTTTGCAAAAGCACTAAAAGCATCATGCCACAGCCATATATATGCGCACCTATGTTTGTAGTGCTATAGTTAGTAATACCTAAATTTTGGAAACAACCAAAATGCCCATCAACTGATGAATGAATAAAAAAGATGTGGTGTTTTTATATAATGGGATACTACTCAGCCATAAAGCAGGTTAAACTCAAAACATTTCTAGGTAAATGGATGCACCTTGAGAGCATACTCTTAAGTGAAATGGATACAAAGATTGTTTCTCTACTGTGAGAAACTGAAAGTGTAACTAAGGACCAAAATGTCTTATAACTATTGTGAAATAGGAAGAAATTGTACAAAAGAGGAACTAGTGAGGTGGAAGGAGGAAAGGAAGGAAGGGAAAGGAAACAAATACGAGAAAAGAAAGATAAAATGGTAATAAAGCTTTGTAAGTAAGGAGGGGAAGAAGGGTTGAAGGCAGGGGAGGGGAATGGGAAAAAAATCAAGATATATTATGTACAGGTCCAAATTTCCTATGATGAATATGATCATTATGTATACCTACACTGTACCAATAAAATTAATTTTAAAGTTCTGGAGACATATCTTCATAGTCTGAAACAAAACTAGCTTTTTACTCTGAGTAAATAATTATTTGTGACTTTATAGTCATTTTTGTACACCATTTCTACCTATTTTAAAAAATATTTTCTTCAGTTCTATGAGCCAGTTTCTTCATCAAAAGGGAAAAGGTACTATGAAAACTTAAATTTCATTTACTTTCCCAGTACCCTTAGGAAGAAGTCAAATGGCAGAAAACACATTTTTTAAAGAAAAAAAATAGTCTGGATGAAGGATGAGAGTGACTCAGAGTGACTGAATTGGCAGCCCCAAGCCTAAGGCACAGTGACAAGACCTGGATCATCTGAACCTTCTCTTTACTCTCAGACTACATGAGCCTTTGTGAAGGCATACATATCTCTCTCCTTCCCTGTTTTGGTCACTTCTTTTCTTCATCTTTCTCTCCTCTGCTCCTCCACCACAAACTAGAAGTTCACTCTTTTCCTTGTTTTTAGAAGGCAATTCCTGGTTCCCTATTCCTTGAGAATATGCTAATACATACCTCTTGTACCCCTTGACTTTTTCACAGGTTGTTTTAAGAGTTTCTTCTTCTGGTGTTTTTTCCTCTCTTTATGTTTCATGGTTCAACTCTTTGCAGAATTGCTGATATCAAGTAAGAGTCTGAGACTGTTCTCAGAGAATTATTAGTAAAGATAAGAAATTAAATGTATACACCCCCCCAAAAATAGCAAATAAGTAGCAAATAAGACACTATCTGTTTACCAGATCACTGTCCTTTGTAACGCTCAGTATGATACCCTGGTTGGTATGATACCAGTTATCACTAAGGCCTCAGCAGGGTTCTATGACCTATTGATGACATCCATGGTGTTCCAGGACCCCACTCGTATTCACAGCACTGCAGGATTGCTTAATCTATTGCCTATGTTCATCTGTCACTGACTTGAACTTTCATACCCAAAATGTAATAGATGATATTGATTAAACAAAGGAAATCCTTTGATGTGTCTAGGGATACTGTACTTCTGAATCTTCCCAACCCCAAGGATATGGCAGGACCAGAGAGGATTAGGCTTAGAACCATGCTTCTATCATGGAAATTAGTAAATATTACATCATAGCATTACTATTGAAGTTATTTGGAAATACACGTCAGATACATATTATAATAGAGGTGCATATTTGAGAGCACCTCATAAATCCAAACAGTTCCAGCACTTATTAAATTTCTCCTGCTACTGTGTACATTCTCATGTGTCTTCCCAATCCAACCTGTCTCCTTTGCCACTCTTCTTCATCACTTCCCTGATAGCTGGGAGAGACTCAGTTTTGACTACACCAAACCTGGTCTTCATCAGGAATTCTGTTCTTGTGGCTGACAGTCTCATTCTTCATGATTCTGTGCCAGCCCCCAGTCTGTCTTTTGGAACATTTGTGTCCTATAGAGTTTGAACTCTGAGACAGCGTTATTTTACCTTCCATTGTGTGTAGAACATACTGCATCTTTTAAGGTCAAACTGTTTTCTCTCTAGTAATTACCATGAGTCCCAGGCAGTGGCTTATCCTCCTGCAGCCTCCTTTACTCTATCAGTTCTCTCTGTGGTTATCATTTTCCAGGGGCAGAGGTTTCTAGGTTTCAGAAGCTGCATGCAGTCCTCATCTATTCTTCCCTTTCTTCAAGGAGCATCACTCTAACCTCTGCTTATACTGTCACATCTCCAGTCTGTCACCCAGAGAGCCCAGGATAATCTTTCGCTTTCACACCTTCTTTGGTTAATATACAAAGTAGCATATCCATATGTTTCTGCAAGTAGGAGATTGACATTTTGTGGAGTGATGGAAAGAAAGGGTGCATTTCTGGCCTAGCCTACCAAGATAAAGTCAGAGAGAATCACAGATTCTATAGTAAAATACAGTAGTATAAGAATAGAAAGCAAAAGGTGAATAAAAAAGGAAAAATGTCACAGCTACTATGAAACATATTGAATTAAACAAAGTAGAATGAAATAAAAACTTCACTTTGAAATTAAACATTAACCAAGGGACAAAACAATTACACAAGACTATTTAATGCTATAAAACCTTGACAACAGCTGGGCATGGTGGTTCATGCCTGTAACCTCAAGACTCAGGAGGCCGAGGCAGGAGGATGGTTGAGAGTTTGAGGCCAGCCTAGACAATGGTCAGTACATTGACAGCCTGAACTACAAAATGTGACCCTGTCTCAAAAAAGCAAGAAGACAAAAGATAAATAAAACTTTGGCAGTTACAGTCAGTAAACAAGAATTCCAAGACAGGGATGATAAGGCAATGTAAAGAAATAAATATGAAAAATTCAGAGCTCTGAAAACTGAAGCGCTAAAATATTGACAGTAGGTTTGTGAAATATGGCTTCTATCAGTTTGAGGTAAAGATCTTTGTATACATATTTTCATCAAGGACCCCCATGGCTGCAAAAGCAGACAAACAGTGCTGTTGGACATAATGACTCTTTCCTAGCATGGCAAATAGCAAGAATCATATGAGAGTATGTATCAATAGAAACATGAACAAATTTAGTTCTTCCAAATCAGGGGACATGAGTTATGTCCATATGCCAAATCATATTGCTACTTGAGCCATGAGGGTTAATCCCTTCTAGAGGCATAGGTCATGGAATTTTTTTGACATGAAGAGCAGGCTGTGACTATATGTCCAGCCTGAGCATGAGTAAGTCTAAAACTGTCTTTTCAGAGCTTTAGAGTTTGATGAAAGTAATCACGTGATGTTTTAGCTTGTTCAAAAGCTGAAATGCATCCAGTTAACATATCAGCCTGATAATGACCATATAATAAAGGTCCAGGTAAACTGGAATGTGATCAAATATGTTTAATAAAAAATGATGCTGTCTGTTCATGGATAGCTTTTCATAAGCTTAGAAATAAATTTAGTAATTTTGGTTCCAATGAGGAACAAATTATGGCATTTTCTAAGCCCTGAATTAAGTAAACTGCATAGGAAGAGTCACAATATTTAAGGTCTGTGATGGAAAATTCTCTATTACATAAAGAATGACTGTTAATTCAGATCTCTGAGCTGAAAGGCCAGAAGTTAAAATGACATGTTGAAAGTTTTTACTCCACACTACTGCTTTCCCTTTAGAGCAGCCATCTGTGAAAAATGTCACTGCTTCCTTAAGGGGTTGAGATTTGGATTACAGGGAGAATAAATTCATGTTGCATAAAAAATTATAGCAAGGGGTCATTTGGGTAATGATTATCAATTTGGCCAATGAAATCTGCAAATGCAACCTACCAGTAGACAGCAGTTTGTAGTAAAGATTGCATTTATGTCTTATCTAATGGCAAAATTATAACTTGAGACTCAAATCCAAATATTTGACAGGCCCTATTTTGTCCTGTGGAAACTACCTTTGCAATTTGTTCCACATACAATTGTACCCTCACCAATTGATTAGGTAAAAATAACCACTCCATAAGAAAAACTTGTTTATCATAGCACTGTCCAGGTAGTCCCGTGGGAGAATGAGGAGTTTGGAGTACAAACAAGTACACAGGGTAATCAGGGTTAATTCTAAAAACCTGTTGATCATGAATGCTTTTTCTCAATTAACTATAGCTCTTGTGCCTCTGTAGTTAAGTTGCGGGGTGAATATAAATCTGAATCTCCTTGTAATATGCTATATAAATGTTGTAACTGAAAGACTGAAATACCCAATTTAGGGGTTTTAGCCAATTAATATCTCCCAAGAATTTTTGAAAATCATTTAAGGTTTTTAATTTATCAATTCAAATTTGCACTTTTTGAGGCTTTATAATTCTTTCAGCTACCAGAGTGCCCAGATATTGATAAGGAGCAGACAACTATACCTTTTCAGGGGCTACAGAAAGGCCAAATTTAAGTAAATCCCATTTGGCATGGGCAAAGCCTGTAAGGAGTCTCTTGTTTATCAGACGCTATCAATATATCATCCATGAAATGCAACCAATATATTTGAGGGAATTTCCTTCTAGTGGCCTGCAAAGCCTGAGACACAAACAGCTGACAAAATGTAGGACTATTTGCCATTCCCTGGGGCAAAAGTGTCCACTGAAACCTTTTCATAAGGTTCTTGAAAATTTATACTTGTAACACAAAAAGCAAAACATGTCCTATCTCCTAGAAACAAAGGAATATTTAAAATAAAAAATCTTTTAAATCAGTAACAATTATTGGCTATTCTTATGGAATAGTACTTGGGTTTAGGAGCCCTGGCTGTAAAATTCCCATTGGAAGGAGGCTAGCATTCACTGCATTCAAATCTTCTATTAACCTCCATTTTCCTGATTTTGGGGGGATGATAAAAACTGGTGTGCTCCAGGGACTGACAGAAGGCTCAAGATGTCCTTCATTTACCTGTTCAGTTAACAATTGATTTAAAATCTATTGTTTCTCCTTAGTTAGGGGCCACTGATCAACCCAGATAGGAGTATCAGATTTCCACTTTAAAGGCAGTACTGTTCTGCGAGGAGCTACTGCAATGGCCCTCATTATAAATTTGACTTACACCCAATTCCATAATAATTGTTTTTTACTTGAGGCTCTAGGGGGTGCATTTGTCCCTGAAGCTGCCTCCTAATCCCTTTCCTTCCTGATAACCCATTCTATCTATCATATTCCTGGCTGGAGACATGGCAGGAGGCAAGGTTGTTATTACCACCTTCCATTCCGTCAGTAATTCTCTATCCCATAAGTTTACAGAAATGGGTGCACTGTAGGGGCACACATATCCTGCCTGTCCATCTGGGCCCTCAAAAGTCAATGGCATAGTACTCTGTAGTACTTGCTGTGGTGAGCCGTCCCACCAGGAAGGCAGAAGGTGATCTAACTTCTCAATCTTTAGGCCAAAATTGTGATGAGATGATAGTCACATCTGCTCCAGTATCTATTAGTGCCTTCCATTAATTTTAATCTTACATATAGGCTTATTCCGCAAAACTTCTTGAGCAAAATAAAACTCACCCTGAGGAAGTGCTTGTTCTGAATTTTCCTTGTTTCTTTATGACAATGATTAACCACCTCAACCTTAGGCAAAAGGAACAACTGAGCAATATAATCTCCTTGTTCAAACACCCAAACACCCATAGAACAAACAGACACAAACAATTCAGAAGTGCAGTCAGCATCAATTAAAGTAGGAATAACAGTTAAACCTTACAAAGTTAAATTTACGGGGCTGGGGATTTCGCTCAGTGGTTCTGCGACCTGTCTCGCAAGCGGAAGGACCCAAGTTTGATCCCCGGTACCAAAAAAAGTTAAGCAAAGAAACAAAGTTAAATTAACTTTGCCAATTATCAGACCAGTAATTCCCTGTAAGCATGGCTTATAGATCGCAGTTGGAATAGACAAAGGATTATGACCCCCTAACAGGCTCTCTGTGCAGCTGGAAGAGCTAACCCTGAGCTCTCTGCTATTCCATGGATGAGGGAGGATATATCCCTTCTGCCACCCAGGCCATCAAACCTTTCATTTGGGCTGGAGTTTGAATTGGGTACCTCCATTTTAGTGATAACCAATTGGCTGTTGCTTGGGTTTGGATCAGATGCCTCTGATCCAATGGCAGTGAATTGGCTGTCACTGGACCCCTTCTCAATTTTTTCAGGGCCCAAGAGAAAAGCGCCCCCCACCCGCCATTTCCCTGAAGAGTTCCATTTATGTGATACCTGGAATAGCAATCTTTTGTCTGGTGAATTCCCTTTTGACAGCATGAGCATAGCCCTGGTGGCTGACCTTCTCCTCTTATAATAGGTTCCAAATTAACATTTTTTGATGCAACATTTTTGAAATGTTTCTTAGTTTGTACTGATTTACCACAGTTGAATCAGCCTGATTTCCCCTCATATTTTGGCTAATTGCTTGTGTCATCAAAGCTGTATTATATGAGGGAGATCTAATATCTCTGCAGGCTCTAATGTTGCCTCCAAGATCATTGGTAAACTTTATGGTATTAATTGCTAGCCTGCAATCTTTGTAAGCATTATAAGCCAGTTGTAACACAAAGATATTGGCTGCCTGAGGATTAGATATCTGCCTCTTAATTGTAACTTTTAATTAGGGTAAAAACTCCATGTAGGGCTCTTTCAGACCTTGGAAGATCTGAGTAAAAGATTTTTTTTTAATTAAATTCTTTTATTGGTACATTGTAGGTATACAACACAATTACATTTCTCATTGGGAACTGTACCTTTACATAATGACCTACCTATACCACAGAATATTGCAAATGAAAAATTTTAGAAAAAGGTCAACTAATTTCACTTAACATATATTAAAAGATTAACATGAACTATAGACTGTAAGTATTATTTTCTTTATTGAGATCTTGGCCCATTGCTAACAGTATCTCTCTTTTTCATTGCAGTAAAAAGGACAAAAATACTTCCCTTTAATAAATGAAGGTATAAAAACTCAAAAAGCCTCTTTTCAATAATATAAATATTTATTTGGGAAATTTAACCACTTCTCAGCATCTAGTTCAGCATCTAGTCCAACTAGACTATAGAAGCTCATTGAGCTCAGGAATCCTTCAATTCTTATACTTAACCAAATTCAGAGTGCTTAGGAAATGAATGGTGGCAGGAAGAAAAAGAAACACAACATTTTAGAATATAAAAGGAATGTCCAATGGCATTTCTGTTATTGATGTAATCAGTGTCATGTAATTGATGATTACAGGTGACAGTCATACAATCATTGTCATGCAGCTAGCCCTGGAACTTTCTTCTAATAGCCCAGTATTTTCTCTGTTCTACTATGCAGCAAATCCCATTCTGCCTCAACTTAGTAGATTTCATCCCAATTTCAACCAAAAGAGTATCTTGACCTACGTCATATGGAGAATTTGGTAAAAAATTTAGTCAAACACTTAAAAACTTAGGTTCTTAAAATATTTGACCCAGATTATGTTTAGGACCAACGAGTTAGGATGATTTTTATATAACTTCCCTTTTCTCCTTTGTCTACAGCTTATATACAGAAAGCTCTTTTATTTTTTTCCTCTACTGAAGCTCTTTTGTTTTATGACTTTATGTCAAGCAATAATTCAAGGTTATAACTTTATGTCATAAAAATGACCTAAATTAATATTTTTAAATGCCATTTTTATTGTCTTTATTTGTTAAAAAGAGAAAAACCACCTGAAAACTGATACATGCTGGTGTACTCTGTAATCCACAGTAACTCTCTACTAGTCTGGCTTTGCAAAATAATTTTTAACCATCTGGATAGTTTTATTAATGTTCTCAAAAGCCATATTGAAAATACAATGATTTTCCTGTGGCCAAATATTATTTTGATGGTTCAGGATCAATAAAGATAGCCA